CTGCGGGGGGGGACGTGTAATTGAATCGGGGAGGACTCACCTTCATTTTGGACTTGGTCTGAGCTTTGTCCCGGTGGTGGTAGGCGTTGCCGGGGGAGACTCGCCACCAGAGGGACCAGGCGATGGCCGAGTAGGTGTAGGCCAATCCCATTAGCGGCACGAAGAACGTCAACGTGAAGATGAACACCGTGTAGAGCTGACTGCTCGTCTCCGAGTCCCACCACTCCGTGCACTCGTAGTACGTCCTGCGGCCCCATTCGTCAAACTTTAACAACCAGCTTAACACTCGAAGTTCGATACATTGCACAGTTGACTTGTCGCATCGACATAGATTCAATAATACGGCCGCTGCACGTTCAACACGCCGCACAATGGATCGAGTCAATGGAGGATTTGCTTGCAAATTTTTTGTTGCTTCATCTGAAAGTGCTTAAAGAGCTGATTTCACAGTATATTTGGACCGAGTTTAACAGAAAGGAACCAAGCCACATCAGCTATTGCCAAGTTTAACTGGGCAGTTAAATGTTTTACAAGAGAACGTTTGTTCGGATTTCCTTGAAAATTTTAAGGAATTTGCTTCGCACCATGGAGAATTTTCACCGAAATTTGCACGAAAATCTGCACAACCGTTTTCATGTAAAAAATTAAATTGCCCAATTAAATTTGGCAATAGCTGATGTGGCTTGGTTCCTTTCTGCTTAACGCGGTCCATTTTATAATGTTTTTCTGATATGAGAAACAGTATGAAAATCTATTTAAATGTGAGAAAATGGACCGCCTAGTGACGTCATCTGGCGGCATTTCCCATTTAAATGCATGTATTTTAGCAGATTAGATAATTTTGTCATATCTGTTAAATAATTGTTCAATTGGACGTATTTCTACCAAACAGACCTATGTGCAAGTGAGAAACATGGGGTGTGCTCGTTAGTTCTCTTTGCGTAAGAGTGAATGATAATAATAAAGCGCCAGTGACGTCATCGGCAATGATAGTGCGCACTCGAGCGAGGGGGAGATCGTTAGAGTGAGCCCTTAACTCATGAGCCCTGTCCACAAGGCTCTCTTGCCATGCCCGCGGCTCATGAGTTCCGCATTCAGTTGGCACATAGGTCTCTTTGATAGAATGTAATATCCCGCTTTTCCAATTCTACAAAAGGAATCACGTCCACTTTTACATTGCTTCTTATGCAGCTTCGACGAGCACACCCCATATTTCTCACCTCCACATAGGTCTGTTTGGTAGAAATACGTCCAATTCGTGAATCAAGGGTATCCTCGTGTTCAGTCCAGTCTGTAGTTTGCACTGACACACGAAATTCATCAAATTTCAGACACCTGCAAATTCTCTATTAGAGAGGTTGGACATGAAATTTTTGGCTAAAGTCGCAAATTTTGATATTAAATTCGTTACATTTTAAATTTTGAAGGGTGCCTCTGGTAGAAAATCCCACGAGGAAATCAATGGAACCATTTGTAGGACCTCAAAGTTCGTTTAAACGCAGTTATAAGTGTTTAAAGTTTCCAAATGTCCGACCTCTCCTATTGACTCAATCCATTGTGCGTGTGCGCCGCGCCGCCAATTGGCCGAGTTCCCTGTCTGTCGCCCATCTGGCGTGGGGGCCAGAGGCGAATCCAGAAATTTGGCATTAAATAAATGCATATTCAACCAAAAATTTTTCTGAGCAGTTTAGCTTGAGCATGCATGAGCAAGAAAGACGCGAAAGTGCTAATGTGTGAATATGTATATGAATTGAAAAAAAAATTATTTTGAGTTAAAAATGCAATTAAAGGGACAAACATTCAATCAAAATTCCGATTGACGGACAAGTGACGCAGCGTTAGCGCTAATCTCCGAATGCAACTGTTCACACTCAGTGAACGCTCGCGTGTTGCATATACGCGAAAAAGAAGGCGTTCTTCTCTCCTTGCGGTATCATAAACTTGCGCGCGCGGCATGGTGCGGCACCGCTCGTAACTTTGAATACCTGATGCATGTCCCTCAATCACGATTAAACGTGTGACTGTCTATCCTGCCGTGATAGCAAAGAGAGCAGTAAGTGCATATCTGTACAAGCCATGGTTAGCACATGCTTTCATGCACTGAGAAAAAACTATGGCTTATAAACCTATTAGAGGTAAATATGGAACACCACTATAATAGTAGTACCTCTACATATAATAATAGCACATATACCTTAGTTATGGTACGGGGTACCTTAATTAGGTACAGAGACCTTAGTATGGTTCACAGACCGAGAATCTTTAGTTTATTTACGACTATTATAGGTGTTCCATATTTACCTCTAATAGGTTTATAAACCATAGTTTTTTTCTCAGTGTGGGTCTCGAGATTCATCCCAGCATGCACCTACTGCTCTCTTCGCTACCACGGCAGTATAGAAAGAGCAGGGCTTTTAGTCACAAAAATTAAACATTGAGATGTTCATATACAACATCAAAAACAAATGTTCTACATACATTTAGGTATAAAAATGTGCAATTGCAAACGAGATCCAAGCCGCAGCGATATGAATCTTGCAATGAGAAGAAACATGACTCTAAAAGAAAGCTCAAAGTAATTCAAATCGGCTGGGGGTTAGTGAATTAAAATGCGATTTTAATCCATCTCTTGACACCAGAATTAACTTAATCGCACGTAACTTTCAGACACCAGAAAGAGAGTCATCTATTTAAATATGCAAGGTTAATTTTTCTTCCCACCCTGTATAAATAGCCGTGTGGAAAATTTTGCCTTGGTGGACTTGGGTCCCTGTTCGGTGGCTTGGCATAAATCCAAAAACTGAAATTATTGTTACTTTTTCACAAAAAAATTGTCTCGTTTTGGATTTTAGCTTAAAAAAAAATCTATTTTGAATTCGGTAATTGGTAGGACAAGGGACGCTGCGTATACGCGATGAAGCCCGGTAGTTAATCCATGTGTTCTCTTATATCAATCTCAAGAGCTGCAATTATATTTGAAGATACTCACTCGCCATTGTAAAATACGAACTCCCTGGCGGAGGAAACATAAAGCTGGACACTGGACAGTGCAAAGGCGCCTACCCAAATCCCCGCCATAACATATTTGCTCTGGTTTTTATTTATTCGCCGATTGAATGGAGTTACGATTGCTTTATACCTGCAAAACCACAATTATTAAACTAATTAAAATTAAGCCATTATTTACTGTACAGAAAAAAAAAAATTGGGTGAACAACCAGGTTTTGCGAGTATAGGTGTTAAACACCCTACGAATCACGGAAAAAACCTAACCAGACCTAACCATAACATCAACCGGAATAATAATATGTGTCAGTTACCTAAGAGAAACTTCCACTGACAATATAATAATAATAAAAATTTATTATGCTCCTTTTTTTTACAGTTTAACAAGATTTTTTAGGGCTTCTTAAATAATACATGAATGTATGAACCACGAATATTTAGGATGCATGTAACTTTTATGTCATATTAAGTATGACTTTTTATTGTAGACGATGCTATTGTCTTAAGTTCAGGCCTTTATATAATCAATATGACGTATTACGGTATGTTCAGTCATGTTTATGGTAAGTTCCTTCAACTGTTATTTTTTTTTACAAAAGAGAAAAAAACGTTTTCCGGATAAAAAGAAATTACTCATTTTCAATTCATGTGGATGAAATTCTGGATGAATAAACTAATTAACAAAAAAAACTGATCCGCGTACTGTTTTAAATACACGTTCAGCAGTGGACACACTCTATCTACTTTTTCTTGATTAAGCTTGTTCCCTTTTTAAACGATTCGGATAAGTGTGTATTGTCGGAAGGGGTTAAATTATTAATGTTAGCTTTAACTCTGAAAAACACATGCGGAAAAGTATGCGTTTTTCAGGGTTACAGCGTACTGTTGAGTGAATACTTGGAAATATTTCAGTCCGAAAAAGCATAAAGAAACAAACAAAACAAAGCACGAAGAAGGGAAATATATAATTAATATAAACAGCGAGCATTCCACTACTTTATCAACTCTTCCCGGTGCTCTGCAACGCGATCCCCAGGACAAAAATCTAGTGTCTGAGTCTGATACTACGAAGCAATAATTTCTGAATTAATTTCGCTCGACCCATTTTGAGTTTAAGAATAAGCAGACGGCGTATTTCCGTTCTAAAATTACAAAAACGCGAATTTATTTGCATTATTAACGAGCGTTTGCAGCAAATATCCTTTCTAGGCCTGGAAACAGGGCTCGCTAACTTCAGCAGGGCGAATTTCTCGTTTTTTCTCCGCGTACTTTTAATTGATGTCAGAAGATCAATATTAGGGAATTCTGGATGTCCCTTGGCACCGAATGATCCTTCTAAGCTCTAATATCTGTGTTTTCTTGCTTTGATTCTCTTCCACTCGCAAGGTCGGGACAAGACAGCAAGCTTTCAATCCATCAAAATCGAAGATCAGCCCTTTCAATGCCACGGGAAGTGGACACGGTTTTCATCGGCGGCGAGGCGTGAAAGATAGACTATCGATATTTCTCCATTTGAAGCTATGGTAAAAAATCGATTATTAAAGTGTTCGCCGCCGCGAACACCCTGTTCATCGGTCCTTTTCCATAGGTTTAAATGACAGATCTATCGATATCGTATATCGCTAAGCAGGCCACGCCTCTAGTTTGCATACAGTAACCATAAATAAATGGAATTTTTGTGGCATCATACGAGATGAGATGCCGTGGGTTACTGCTGCATTATTTGGACGTATTTCTATCTAAAGGAACTATGTGCATTATGACGTGAGCCCTGTTATGAACATATCCATATGGGTCTCCGGGCTCATGTCTTAATGCACATAGTTCCGTCTGATAGAAATACGTCCATATATTATAACTATGGGAAACTTTACGATCGATTACTGTATATAAATCCTGCTCCTCCTGCCGGCCACCCCCCTCCTCCCCTTCCCACAACTCAATTTCAATCCTCTTTGCGAGGCGTAATGTCAAATATTTTACTGCAACCCTTATTTGCTATTTCAAACTTTGTGACGGAGGTAGTCTCGTCCTATGTGAGGGCAATATCTTAAATGCATATCGTAATACGTTATTCCTTACCACTTCACGTGTGTTATCTTATGGTTGAGACGATGTAAGGTAAAATAGACGACGTATATCTTTGGATGTAAAGCAAAATTGGACCGCATTTAGCATAAAGGAACCAAGTCACATCAGCTTTTGCCAAATTCAATTGGAGAATTTACTTTTTTACAAGAGCACAATTGTGCGGATTTCTTTGAAAATTTCTAGGAACTTGCTTCGTGCGAGTATTATGCGGAAAATTCACAGAAATTTTCAAAAAAATCCGCACAACCCTTCTTATTTAAAAAACTAAATTGTCCAATTAAAGTTGACAATAGCTGATGTAGCATGATCCTTTTTCTGCTTAATGCGGTCCAATTGCAAATACACAGAAAGAAAGAAAAAAAAACAAAAAACAAAAAAACGATCCCAACTATACTTCTGGCTGATTTTGGCTTCAGCTATAAGAGTAGCTGCAATAGTCAGAGGCACGGGTGGTTGATCAGAGCTGCCATTTCTCTGAATTATTTCCAAATTTCGGATCTTTCGCAATTTTTCAGAATCCTCAAAATTCCTGGCATTTTCGGCCATTTGGGAATTTTCTCGGAATTTTGAGGTTTTTCGTCAGTTTTATCGATTTTTTTTTTACCAAATTTAATGCTTTCTTTTTTTTATCAAAGTTGACGATCTCCGTAACTAAATCCGGGCTCACCTCTGAATTTTTACCCGGAACCTTTGAAGAGTCGACATTCTTCTCGGAACTTTTGAAAATCGGAATGGATTCCCGGAACCCCGGAATCTTAGATAAAATAAAATGGCAGCACTGCAGCCGAGAGTGTGGTCGGATTGACCATGGCTCTGACTTGTGCCTTCCCACTTCTGTCTGGTGCAACTTCTTTTTTGGCTCGCATCAAAATCAGCCAGGAGAATAGTCAAGATTATGATACATTGTTTTTCAGAGTGAACAGGTTTTCCTCTTTTAATTTCTACCTTGATTACGCATTGATTTCTACATTGATTTCTACATTTTCATTTATCACTTTTTGTCAATTCATTCGTGTGTACCAACCAAATTTCTTATGCTTCCAAGTTACTTTGATTTTATGCATACCTGTCTATACCGATGGCAGTCAAAGTATACACGGACACGAATACCGATACGTGCTGCATACCTAGGACGATCGGGCAGAACCATGGCGTGAAAACCCATCGGCCCAAAAGGAACCTAAAAAATCGATAAAAAATCCTGCTTTGTTATTCAAATCCGAATCATTTCTTTCTCCTCTTTAATTTTATAACTCAATAAACATTTAAATAATCCTCCATCACCTATCATGTCTAATGCAATAAACCTGTGGACATGGTATGAATTGAAGCACCTCGCAAAATATTATTCCTCTTCAAAATTTACTAAGAAAAATCAGTCAAATCAGGCATTTTATCAAATGCCTAGGCCAGTAGTCGAATTTTGACAGTATAAAAAATTTTGTAAATAGTTTCAGGACATTTTGTCAACGATTTTTTGTCCGCGCACCTTTTTTGTCCAGTAGTTTACGTCCACACGTAAAATAAGCAACGGTGACTTAGTTCAAGTGTTATATTTTAGTCGGTATGTAAAATTATATTGACAATATGGAAATGAGAAATTGAGACAGAAGGAGGTATCGTTATGGTAGCTCATTTTCTAAATGACATGTTATTACTTTCTCCTTTTAAATCATCTTTTTAAGTTGTCATTGGTGAATATTTGGTTTTATTTCTATCCTTAAAATATTCGATGTACAATATACCTACCTTATATGTGTATAGGTACTTTTTTTATATTTTTAATTTTTCCTTTACGAAATTATTACTTCATTTTGAAAACATTTATATTTTTAAAACGTGACAAATATTTGTGGAACCTTTTCCAAGCGATATCAATCTCAATTAGCCGCAGTTGTGTCGGCAGAAACTGCGAAAATGAATAAAAGAGGAAAAAAAACCAAGAAGCACACAATCTTCAGTTTTAACCTATTTGTACATCGATCTTTTAGAGTCAAATACGTCAAATTTTGAGCGTTTGGTTGCGCGCACACCTCGCTGCAGCACAATAAAAGCACAAAATGTAAAAGAAAAAATTAAGGTGCTTTGGAAATCATTAAATTTGACACGGAACCACCAATATTTAAAAAACACACCTTATATTATTATTCTCCTTTGATAAATTAACACATATTTTTTCCCCATCAATTTAAATGAGAATAATCAATGCAGAGTGTGCAAACATTTCAAAATCATGAGTTAAAAAACGCTGACTATGCGAGTATAAATATATAGCCTAACAGAGCGGAGCGTCGTGCTGCAAGCGCGAGAGGCTCACTGGCGCCTACAAACCTAAGTGGATACTGCACGCATTGCACAATGCTTGAAGTATCCACTTAGGTTTGTAGGCGCCAATGCGCGGGCCGCCCGCCCGCCGTGCGGCGCGTCGTGAGCATTTGTCGTTTGTATTTACATGTTGGCCAATTAACTTTGGGTCTCAACTGGCACGTGGACCAAAACTCCCGCGTCGAAAAAACGCGTGAACGTAAATTACTGGAAAAAACAAGTGCGCTGACAAAAAATTGTTGACGAAATGTCCTATAACCCTGTAAATTTATGACGAGGAGTTCACGGGTTTTCAAAATCTTGGGAAGAATAACTCTTATCCTGAATAACTAAATCCACGAACTCTCCTTCTTCCTTCCTTTTAATATATCTTTAGTGCATTTAAATGTTAAAATTTTAAAAATTCTATGTTTTATGACGTGCTGAAAATTTCATGAGAAATGTGCATTTAGGATCTTAAAACCGTTTAAAATACTGTTTTATGCTGCATTTTTTCACAGAAAATTCTCTCTTTGAGGAGCAGCAAATTATTATGTCTGAAATTAGGGTAAAAAATCAAAATTTCAATTCCAGTAAGAACATTTGACTATTTGCCTAGGCATTTGACAAAATGCCTGATTTGATTATTTGCCTTTGCCAGAGAAAAAGTGATAACATTTTTTGTTTCCTCCTTCATAAAAAGAATTCATCTGCATTTTCACGTCCAATTAACTTTAACCACAGCGTGATTTTTATTAAAACAATTTTGAATGGTTAAATCATCGCTATTCAAGGCCGCAGTAATTCAATTTCTCAATTCTTAAATAGAAGAAAAACAAAAGCCTTTCAATTTTATCGATGAAAATAGCCTACTTTTCATTATATAAGCCGATAGACTAGTCGACAGATTGTGAAATAAAGCTCCTTAATACCAATTTTTTCATTACTAGAATTTAACATATAATAGAATGGACTCATCAAATATTTCCGAGTTGAATTCGCCAATAAGAACGTATTCTCTGTTCGAAAGCTCAAAGCTCCCATCTGCTTAAAAACCAGCGTGTTTAATACGAATAAGGGCATGCATCAAAACACTGAACTCATTTCAACAACATGTGAAAGATGAAGTACAAAATGAAGAGGACCTGAGTCTTTCTGCAAGGAACTCTTGTAATTTTCCAATGGTGTAATTTTGTTCTCAATGCTTAATTTTGCCTTCGTTTGAACTGTTTTTGTTATCAGTGCGATTCTAATTAAAACATTGGGATTCAAACATGGTTGGGATGGGAACATTTGATTCTTCTAAAATCATTTTTGAAATTCTCAACACGTGCAACTTACTTTGCATAATGATAGCAATGAGGGGACACGAACTTTGGTTGTTCATTTCTTACCCTATTCATAGGGGTCCATTTTTAAAATCACCTTTATCAGTTAAATGCATTGTGAGAATAGACGTGATCAACCAAGGCTATTTCATGAGGAAAGTATGAACTTCAATTTGTAATCTTAGGTATGAGATAAATCAGTGACGTCGCTGAAAATGTTTGAATAATATGAACATAAAATGTCAAACTTACATTGTGTACGTAAATGGTATTGAAAATATAGCCATTGTAACATCAGACACTGCGAGATTGATCAGAAACAACCGCAGGTCACCTGACGATCTGGAACAGCCAGAAATTCTCATGAGTAAGATATCGGGCACAATCCTTTGTTCGTCTTGGTTTGCTCCTCCTGGAGTCAGAAGAATATGATAATTCACCGAGGGCTCGAATTTAGCTGTCGGAAATTACGTCAATTAGACTTCATTTCGCAATTAGGAACCACAATTTTTGGCTCATCCGAAACGACACTTATGTAAATAGGGAAACTAATAGTACATGCATTGTTTCCAAAATCATCCTAATATTGTAGTTCCTGATGGCAAAATGTAGTTCAATTTACGGGCACTTACTGCTATTTGACAACTATCCAATTTTGCAAGTTTAGTGTATTCGCCTACTTCAGTGGCATCATTCAGTTCATATATATCAGATCGGTGAAATTTTTTGAAAAAAACTACCTTTTGAGAATTTGGCTGTAAATGCTCTCTCCGATAACCCCATTTAAGCCCATTAAATACATCGATTAAGGTAAGGCAAGCTGCCTCCCCAAGAATCAATTATTTTACATACATTTAAATGGGGGAAAAACACTGTTGCCAGGTTTCAAGAATTGCCATTGCTCAAGGCGCATTCCTTTTGCCGCAGTCCAAGATCATGCTCACGCAGTCACTTTACCGGTTAGGCTCATCAAGATCCTACCCTCACTTGTTTTGAATACAGATGTTTCCCTTCGGAGAGGCCCGTACGGCTTTCACTCCGCTTTAAGGAGTTTTAAGAAGGCCCTTTACACAGCATCATAGAAAAGTAATATTCATCAGTTTGATTTTTGAAATTGATCATTGCAAGGGATTACCATGATTTTCTACAACAAAAAATAACAGATACGATTGAAAGCATGTTTTAGATTCTGCAAACTATATCGTGAGTCTCCACCTACCTCGAAATGTGTCAAAATCATAGAGTCAATCATTTTTTTCTGCATATTTTCTGCAGCGGTAGGGCATTTAAATCCATTGTGTGGATCAATTTTCAAAGTTAAACTTATGAATTTTACTCGACTTTCATAAAAAGTATCCTCTTTGTGATGCTACGATTAGGGTTTCCTTTAACCTCCCTTAGTTACAATGTAAACCACTATGGACCTCCCGAAGGATCGGAGCGCCTTAAAAAACAATTGGACTACATTTTGCAATAAGGAGCCACAATCTCTGGCTCTTCCATAAAAGCACCTTCCCACATAGGGAAACCATTGATTTTTATGTTGTTTCTAAAATAAGCTAGAAATAGTGTTTCCTTATTGCAAAATGTGGTCCAATTATTAATACATTCCCTGGACTCAACTTTGTGGTATAAGTAAACTACGAGAGAAACTAAACAACATGAACTTCAGTTCGGCTGATTTGGATGAAGTCGTCCATGGTCCAATTTTTCGCGCCCAGAAATAATGTAATACAATTGCATGGACAGCGATTAGCAGAAAGGAACCAAGCCACATCAGATATTGCCAAATTTAACTGGATAATTTGATTTTTTGGGTGGTTTCACGATAGCTGGAATAGTTTTGTCGCCGTAACAGACAACACATTTTTCGGTCATATTTTTAGTAAAAATGATAATCACTTGGATTTTTTCGCATTAATCTTCAAAGGGTTACGTATTATAACGCATTCTAATGATTTATTGCTCTATTTCTCAATTAATATTATGTAAATTCCGAAAATTTGTTGCCTATAACGCGGTAAAAAGTAAGCGTGACAGAAAGCACATTTTCGGCCATTTACATATTAAAAAAGTAGAGCGATCAATCTTTGAAATGCATTATATCGCACGTAACCCTGTGTAGATTAATGCAAACAAAAATCGAGTGATTATCATTACTACTAAAAATATGACTGAAAAATATGTTCTCTGATACGGCTACAAAACTATTCTAGTTATCGTGAGACCCATTGGCGGTTCTAGACCTTCATGCTTGGGGGTGCTTAGAGGTGGAAAATGTCGGAGACCGGCCCCGAAGGGGACGGTCGCTCAGAGGAGGCCTAAGTTTCGGCCCTCACGTTTTATCCCTTTCCTACCCTCCTTCCTTTTTTTCCCCTCCTTCCTTTCTACTTAAATACCTATAAATTCAATGTAGAAAATTTTTAGCAAAACTTTCCATCAAAACTACAATCTTACCATAAAAAAAACTGTGGAATCGTTTCAAAACACGGCTATCAATATTAATTCTGTTTAAAAAATTTTCAATTAATTGCAGGGATTTTTTCTCAAGTGAGCGAATACAGAATCTTTAAAAGCAGTAATTTCACGGTTCCGATAACCGTACTCAAATTTTGCCTGAGGGTGTCTGGCACCCACTGGCACCCCCGTAGAACCGCGCCTATGGTGAAACCACCATTTTACAAGTTTTTTTGAAAAGTTCAAGGAATTTGCTTGGTACTATGCAGAAAACTTACTGAACTTTGCCAAGAAAAATCCGCACAACAGTTTTCATGGAAAAAATTAAATTGTCCAATTAAATTTGGCTAAAAATAGCTAATCGACGGTGAAACTACCAAACCACGTATCTCGTTTGCGGTGTTTAAAAATCTACGCTCGCATTTTATTTTTTTAAAGTAGACCAAATCAATATCATTCCTTGAAATTTTCACGGAATTTTCTCCGCATAAAGAGGAAAAATCACAGAAATTTTCAAGACTGGATGTTAAGTAGTTTTTCATTTAAAAAATAAAGTATGACAGGAAGTCTGCGACGTCGCAAACCGAGATACGTGGTTTGGTAGTTTCACCGTCGTAATGTGGCTTGGCTCCATCCCGCTTGACGCGGTCCAAGTTCAATGCGTATTCTTGCATCCTCACAAAAGCTCGAGTCTATTTAAAATTCTTGGAGGAGTAAGGGATGGAATTGAGTATGGATTTAGTCGTACTTTGTTGGGTGCAAGGGTTTCATCTTCTGGCGAGGAGAGGTTTTGAGGGCTCTTACCTTTTGCCGAAGCCCAAGATCATGACCACAGTCAAGTTGCCGGTAAGGCTGAGCGTCGCCGTGAGCGAGTAGATGAGGATGAGCGCTACTTGGAACTCGGGCTCGAGAACTTCCAGGCTCGGTAAATATCCGTCCGCTGCGCTCCCGTTCGATGAGGCGTTCCACAAATACAGCCCGAGCTCCGAGATGTTCATCTTATCGACCTGAACACACACACACACCCACGCACAAGAGGATATGAATGAACTTTCGCAACTCCTTGCAGATCAACTGCCCAAGTAGCATTTTTCAACGCAAAATCGCTATATATTGCCATTTTATCGGCCGTCAAGATCAGCGAACATTGCAATACAATGTCTAAAAGTTAGTAACACTGAATATCGACGGTGAAACTACCAAACCACGTATCTCGTCTGAGGTGTTTAAAAATCTACGCTCACATTTTATTTTTTTGAAGTAGACCAAATCAATATCATTCCTTGAAATTTTCACAGAATTTTCTCCGCACGAAGAGGAGAAATCACAGAAATTTTCAAGATTGGACGTTAAGTAGTTTTTCATTTGAAAAATAAAGTATGACAGGAAGTTTGCGACGTCGCAAACCGAGATACGTGGTTTGGTAGTTTCACCGTCGATATATTGGTATTTGGAGTGTAGCCGAGTGCTAGAAATATTGTAAAACGTTCTTAAATTATGGCATTTGTGATATCGATTTTGTGACCCTGACGATGAAACGTTTGCTTCGAAAAGCTTCCGTCGAAGTTTGTTAATAAAAAGTAAGTTTTTAGAGAAAATTTTACATTACTTCTAGCACTCGGCTACACTCCAAATACCCATTTTATTGGCGGTAAAATCGCCAGGATAATCAACAACGATCTGGAAAATGGAAATTATAGATAGGGGGATCCTATGTTACGCCAACAATGAAATTCGTAACACGCCAGGAGCAACAATTAGGCTAGGACGAAGATAGTCGGTTTCTATGGATTCTTATGGGATTGTTGCTGAATACGAACTTATATCAAATTTAGAACCAACTATTTGAAAATCTGTGTCCAGGTATTGAACTTTGCCATTCATCAAGTGCGTTTCCGATGAAAATTTCAACGCTAAATTATTTATTCTAAAAACTCCTGTAAGATTCCATGTATTTGAGGTTATGACGAAGATAGCAATCGGCCATTTCCACTCCCCGCCCGCCTATCGAAAGACCACTCCATGTGTTTTACGTTTTTTCGTAGACCACCACCAATCTATAGTTTCTATATCGTTGATAATCAAAATCTGAGCGATTATCCTCGATCCTATCGCGATAAAATTGCGTTGTCATCGCCCGACAATTTAATGAGATATTTTCGAAATAAAATCGCGATAAATGGCGATTTTATCGACGAAAATCGATCACGATTCTATCGTACCAAAAATTGCGATGTGTAGCGATTAAAATTTTTAATGCGATAATATCTCAATATATTGCCAGCAATATAATCGCGATAAAATCGATGCTGCTCCTTGCTCTCGGAAGAGGATCCATCTGGGCTTGACGGAGTCGCTACCGCTCCTTGTAAGTCCCAAATCGCACACTAGGCAGGGTTGTGATTTTTCATGAAAAATAATATATTTAAATTTCATGTGAAATTATATCTTTAAATTTCATGTGAAATTATATCTTTAAATTTCATGTGAAATAATATCTTTAAACTTCATGGGAAATATTTAATGAAATTTCAAAAAAATATTGACAAATATTTTTCGAAATAAATGCAAAATTAAATGGAGGGCAACGAGGTTTTGCTTATTTTTAGTGCATCTTGCATGCCGAGCCCCTGGAATTATGTTTCATATTTTTGACAACTATATGAAATTTTATGAAATATTTCACGGAAATTTTCAATATTTTCATTTTTTCATTTCGCATGATTCCTTGGTACCGGATCAAAAGATTAGGTAAAAAAGTCAATTTCTTGGAGAGGTATTTTCAATTCTTTCAAAGTATTTCCTGCGGACACGGAAAAAAGTTGAATGTTGATATAGCATTTATACTGTTAAAAAATGTGCGATAGATAAAACATGCCGCCATACTGAAGAAGCGTGATACAATATAGGTAAAATTAGACTTTTTAATCTTGTGAAATGTTTCCAAAATTGCATTTTAATGCGGCTACATTCGACAAGTCCCCCCGTTCCCTAAAGTTCTGAGAGGTAAATGGTTTATCCCAGAGGCCATGTGCCATTTGTCGCCATTTTGGCAAGGGTAATGCACCGAATCTTATGAAAATTGAAATGCAACCGTAATTTGATGCGGTAAATTCATTAGTGGCATTAAAAAACGAACATCTCAATTAAAAGTGGGGTTCGAAAAGCACCACTCTCATACGCTAAAAAACCGAATCATTTGCCTTTAAGTCTAAAAACCTCTCCCCGAAACATTCCAAAGCCCCAGTTCAACTGAGCACAGTGGTATTGAAGCATGGCTCATGGGTGCCGCATTCAGTTGGCTCTTAATTCTGTTGTTGAATTGGAAAGGCGGAATTTTAAATTCTGTCAAACGGAACTATGTGCAGAGTGTATGAGCCATGGACATTTGTCTAGAGCGTTGTGAGCAGGGCTCATGAGTTAATGCCCACTACGAGGAGCCGCAACGACGGCTTCGCCACTGGCGCACAATATTTCCCATTCAATCTTATGGCCCGAGCACTAACGAACACACCCCATGGTTCCCACCTGCACAGAGTTTTGTTTGACAGAAATGCGTCGAATTAAAGAGGTCAACGTGAGATCATGGTTTTCAACGTGTTTTATACGGTCGTTTTCAATTCGCCTTCAGCTGCGTCCACAGCAATTGTTGTTAGGAATATGTTGTGCGTGGTGATTTCAGCTTATTGCATACTTGCCTCTTCGAAGGCGTTTAATGTGCGAAAGTAGAGCACCCTGTTGGAGAACAACATAATTGAGATTGAACGAATCGATTAATCCCTACTTCGATCGTTCTCCGACAGATTGCGTTACTTGTGCACAAAAAACGCCTTCAGAGAGTCGAGTATGTAATGCGCTGAAATCAGCGCGCACTACATATTTGTAACAACAATTGCTGCAGACGCAGCAGAAGGCGAATTGTTCGGTTAAAAAAAAAGTATGAAAGGAAGTGTGCGTGTAACGAGAGGGTATGTATTCGATCGACGTGAATCGAACGAAAAATAAAAACTTGAACCGATCAACACCGATTGAATGGACACATAAATAAAAAGGCGGATCCAAATCAATAGAAAACTTGCATGAACTATGAAAATTTCAAATCGCGATATTTCGAAATTAGGGTCTTTTTTATTTTGATTTTTTGCAATTTTAAGTCCACACGCACCATAGACTCACCCCCTGCAAACCGTTTTTGGGTTTATTTTTGTCGAATTTTTGTTTTGCTTCGAGACCACTGTATCAGATTTCGATCTTTTTGGAAACAGTCCCTGGATGACTGGATGAGTTCAATTAAAATTAACTTACGGCGGCCCGCGAAGTGGGCCTTTAAAAGCCTGAAGCCCGCTCTGGAGATTGGACTGGGGGTCCAGGTCCACCCCCTAGTTTTCTATAGGGCATCCATGGGCACTTTTGCTTAGTCGTTAACAACTACATATCCTCAGAGAGATGTAGCTTAACCTGAGCATGTAACAATTTCGCAATCTGTTCTCACATCAAGACGGAGAAGAGGGAATCATCAAACACATCAAGAATTTCAGATGGAATGTAACTGAACAATAATATATAAGATAGTATAAAAAAAGCTCATATTAGAAATTTAAGTGTCCAAGCTCAATTCTGCTTCATTGATACAAGAAAATGTATTAAGTGGAAATCCAAAAGATTGGCTAAGCCATAAAATAAAGAAAGTAGTTGTGCTTCGTTCCGTTATGCCATTTCCTTACTTTAATGTTTGTTACACTTCTTTGATTTCTTGGTGATTTTATTTAATTTCTTGACCGTATTAATAGATAAATTCTATCGCATTAGATATCGACGGTGTAAGTCGGCAATCACATAACTCGGTTTGCGACGTCGCAGACTTCTTGTCATACTTTATTTTTTAAACGGAAAACTACTCAACGGAAATTCTTTCAAACTGCCGTGATTTTCCTTCTCTGTGCGAAGAATATTCTGCATAAACTTCAAGGAATGATGTCAATTTGTTCTCCTTTAAAAAATTAACATAGAGGCGGAGATTTTCAGACACCGCAAACGAGTTATGTGATTGCCGACTTACACCGTCGATATACTGAATTATTTCGTTTGCATCTATTGTGTTGTGAATTTTTTTAACTTTATTACACCCAGGACAGGTATGACTCATGAAAGATCGCAAGCATATAAGGTTTTTGTAATAATTTAAATATTTTTAGGGTCGTGGCTTATTCGTTTTATTTTCCCTCAAATTGTTGTATAGTCTTGCCTTTTTCCAACCTGTTAATTTTTTTAAACCTACCTCACCTCAATTGAAAGAGAGATTTTACAAAATTTAGCATCCTGACAAGCGATTCGCGAAGAGAAATCAACTATAATTCTAGAGAGCGAAATTGCATTTCACTTATCCAGGTTGACGGGGTTATTGAGCAGGTTAACATCTTAGACCCTTACCAATAAAATGTAGTTCAAAGTGATAGGGGTATGTTCAGTTTTGGAATCGACATTCCCATAATGTACACAATTTAATGTGTATACCGTGATGTACATACCCATTGCTCACATTGTAAATGGCACAAAGAAAAAAGAAAAAAAATTTCTTACTTTGTGTTTTTGCTGACTCGGTCATAGCGTGACTGTTATTCCAAATTCCTTCCGCAGGCAATTTATTTGTATATCCATTTGGCACTTCACACACTATCACTATTATCACAGACGAATTTGATTTTAAGCAAGCACTAGATTATGGATAAATGACACATTGCCGTGGAATTTTTCAAATCAATCCACGAAAATACAATTCCGCTGAAAAATTAATAACTGCTCTTCCAAACTCGTCATAATGCGCGAAGCGGTTGGTTTACCCTCGCGATAATCTGTGAAGAAAACGTTTTAAGCATCATTAAAATTCATTAGGATTTCAGTGCCTCGACAAGAAAGAATCGACGCGATGTTTGCCCTTACCTTTCCGTATTATTTTTTATTAGCTGTCTACATTTATTTTATTTTTATCTTAAGGTTTGGGTCTTTTAAAAAGTCGATTGAGAGGGTTGTTACAATTTTCTTGCTTTTTTGGGGCTACAAAATCGAAAAAGAAGTGGATTTAAGGACACAAATAAAATTTGTGGTAAAAATTGAAAATTATGATGGCAAGGGTTGAAAAACCCATCATTGTTACGTTTTTTTAAAATTCTCGCTTATAGTCCAGTTCCTCAGAGGAGGATAAACTTAATTTCTGTAAATGTCACAGAAATATATGTGAGGTTTTATGAATTATCAGGGATGAGATTTTTCTTGTAATTATCAAGTTTACTTTCACACGGCTGCAGTGGCGTTGACATAATTGGACACACATTTTTAACCATCATCAATAGTACATTATTGGGCTCAATTGAACGTATTTCTTTCCAACAGAACCATGTGCATCATGATGTCAGTCATGTTATACGTATATTATTATGGGTCTCAGGGCTCATGTCTAAATGCACATGGTTCCGTTTGATAGAAATACGTCCAATTATTACTAATCAACGGCATTGAAAATACGGGGAGAAGAAATGTCATGTGGAGAAAATAGATTTTCGCAACAGATCGACAATTCTCACTACAATCATTTTTTTCATGTGACCCCTGGTACACATTTGTTTTAAAGTATGATGGAGGATCTTCTAACAACTTTTATATTTTTGGTTTTTATTAAAGTCTTTTGTTCATAGGAAGGAAAATAAAAATGGTTCGACAATTTGAAAGAAGTCTCGGCTATCAAATAAGCTTGTATCCAAAAATCTCATTTAAGTTTGGTGCAGACGAATGCTACTACATCCAGGGACCCTTCGATGAAAAGTTGAGGGAAGGAGGGAAATAAAAGCATGAAAATTTTCCAAAATGTCGAGAATCTAATCTATTTTATTTGAAGGAGGGGGCAGTAAAATTACCTTTCAAACGATCAAAAAGTACCACCAAATAGCTCCACCCTCCAGTAAAAAGTAATGATTTTAAGTTAAGTAAGGAAATATAAGTACACTAAGTGATATGGATTGGCGTTTGTAGAAGGATTTTCAATACTGAATGGAAAAAACGGCGTAGTCATTGCTAGTGGTCGCTCCTTCATGTAAATACAATTTTAGATGCACCTAGGAACGCGTGTTGCATATCTCACGAAAAGAGGGCGATTTGCTTCCGATTTTCTGTTACTAAGCACTGTTTCATCCTCCCTTCTGATTCGATCGATCGATCTCACGTTGAGCTATTGTCGGCCTCAAATGTGATTCCAGGGAGGTATGACCCGACATTTGCGCGAGTGAATCGCGAGAATAGATCGCAGCGAGTAAAACGCGCGAGACCCTCTGCGCGACCGAGCCGCGGGAGGACGCACGAGAAACTGAGGGACGCATCTCGCCACCTCCGTGGATCTAGGGGTGCGCGATTAAGGGTGGGTGAAAATACGAGCTTGCGGCCTCGAAACCACTGCTATCGCTACTCCAGATTAAAGGGAGCGTCCTGGCCTCCTGCCATATTCAGGAGGAACACTGCATAAGCACTGAGAAAAAATGACCGCTAACGTCCGAGCAGAAACATCCATTCTTAAAAAACTCGTCAGTGATCATTCAAAAGCCTTTTTGAAATCGTTCTGATGATTTTAAATACAACACATAACAAAAACATGTCGACCGCATTCACACATATAGTTTGCGGTGTCTGAAAATCTCCGGCTCTATGTCTTTTTTTAAGGGAAAACAAATTGACATCATTCCTTGAAGTTTTTGCAGAATTTTCTTCGCACCGAGAAGAAAAATCACGGTAGTTTTGGAGAATTGCCGTTGAGTAGTTAACTGTTTAAAAAATAAAGTATGACTGTATGACAGGAAGTCTGCGACGCCGCAAACCGAGTTATGTGATTGAGATTATGTGATGAGAGATGACACCGTCGATGTGTTGTTTTTAAAAGCATGTAATTCTATGAAAGCAAGACATTCGCACCGCGGTCGCATTCGATTCATTGTACTCTTCCGCGCATTTTAACACAGGCTCTTTTTGAAAAATTGAGTTTTTAAATTTTGAGGACTCTTTAAAGTCAATACTTTTGAGAAAAATTATTACCGAATTGAAAAAAAAATCATTAAGCTTATGAGTTTGAAAAATTGTGAAAGACCCTCGTGTTAAATTCATCACACGAACATCACAGAACAAACCGGATGAAAAATGACCCAGTAGACTCTGAAGAAAAAAATTGAAACTGGACAAATTTATTGGACCGCGTTTAAAGAAAAGGTACCAAGCCACATCAGCAGTTGTCAAATAAGTGAATGGTAATTTTAATTTTACACAGAAAAATAGTTCTGCAAATTTTAGTGTCTATAACTTTTTTGCATAGTACGAAGCTAATTCTTTAAAATTTTCAAAGGAATTTGCACAAACTTTCGCTCCAAAAAATTAAATTGCCCGATTAAATTTAGCAATAGTTGATGTAGCCTAGTTCCGTTCTGCTTAACGTGGCCCATTTAACCTTGTTCCAAAACAACAAGAGAGAAACACCCGCTCACCGTAAAGCCAGGTAATGTAACAAACACAAGCGCCTTCAACAGCGGATGCATACAATTATTCGTACTCACTGGACGTTTGTGTTGCATACGTCTAAATTGGAGGCGCTAGGATTTTCCTGGCCGTCGCGTCGTCGCGGTAGTCTTAAAGGGAACGCACCGTGCAGTTGTTTATGCTTCACTGGTTAAAAATCACTCCAAAGAGTATGCGCGTAAATAGAGACGGTCTCTATTTACGCGCATACTCTTTGGAGTGATTTTTAACCAGTGAAGCATAAAGGTACGGAACCTTAGGCGCGTCTGGACGCGGCGTCCAGACGCCGATAAATCTGTCTAATGATTTTTGCGCGGGGACGGCACCTTAGCGGCGAAGAGACGCTGCGGAAAACGCCGATCGAGGACGCTCCGATCTGTCGCGAACAGATCGGAGCGAAGTCGCCGAGAAATTCCGCTCAGTCCGCTGCCTTTCCTACCGATTTTTGAATGTGTTTAGTTCGACAAACCCACGAATCGATCACAAAGGCCGTGAATTGATCGACAAAAGCCGCGAATCGATCGAAAATTCCGTGAATCAATCGACAAAAGCCGTGGATAGATCGACAAACCTGTGAGTTTATCGACAAACCTGTGAATCGATCGACAAACCTATGAGTCGATCGACAAACCTGCGAATCGATCGACAAACCTATGAGTCGATCAGCAAAAATGTGAGTTGATCGACAAACCCGTGAATCGATCGATACCAAGTTGTGAATCGATCGAATTACGTCGATTGGTTCACGTTTTGGTTTTTCGATCGATTCATGTCGATTGACTAGATACCGGTTTTCCTTTTAATTGTCAATCATTTCTCGTCTATCGATCCACATTTTTGTCGATCGAATCGACACCCGTTTTTTAGTAATTTGTCCATCGATTGGTGTCGATCGATTCACGTTTTTATTTTTCGGTCGATTTTTGTCGATCGAATCCACACCCTCCTAAAAAAAAGCGCGTACAGCCATTTTCGCGGCCCAGAGCATACTGTTTTTACTGTTTTTCGACTAGCCCTCTCCTCATGTCGTTGTAACATGATTTAAATGAGGGGGAACTTCGTGCTTTTGATAGATGCCATCAATCATGATATGTTGGAGTGCTTTCAATTTCGTGTCATACTGTTTAACACCTCCGTGGCGAAATAGTAGCTCGAAGCACCGCGGCAAGCCGGCGCGAAGTTATGGTACACAGGAAAAATCTAAGAGCCTTTAGCTGGGGCAAATCAAAAGTTTTATCCGGTTCAGGTATGATAAGATGGGAATTCCTTGAAAGATAATTAAGTCCTGTTGCACCAAAGAGGTGTGGAGAGTTTAAGTGAATTTTCCCTCATGCAGTTGAAGCTCCTCCATTATTACAAAAAATTTCAATTACATCTTTTTTTGGTTGGGCCAAACAAACAAAAACAACAAGGAAACCTTCTCTTCCAGGAGGTTATACATTTTCACCCACAAACGTCATGAGCAATTGATGTTAGTATTTACATGCGGACCAATTAAATTTGGGTCTCGATTGGTAAGCGGACCAAAACTCCCCTGCCGAAAAAACGTGTGGACATAAAATACCAGAAAAAAACAGGTGTGCGAACGAAAAATCGTTGACGAATTGTCCTATAACCATCCATCGGCGAATTCATCGGTGGGTTTAGCAATGGATCACTGGTTGAAAATGTCAGCATGTTGTAAAATACAGAATTTTTGCAATTTCAACATGTATAAATATATGCGAAGCAATTGAAGAAGAAAAGACAAAAAGAGTTCGTAGGTTTGATGAGTTATTTTCCGAAAAATAATGAAAAATTGTGAGCTCTTAAAATTCATAAATTCATCCATAAATTCACAAAATTTTGTAGACCGTTAAAATTTGACTATCTGCCTAGGCATTTGACAAAATGCCTGCTTTCACTATTTGCCTGCGACGGATATAAGTCGAAATTCACGATTTTGCTCAGAAGAATGGCAACGTCGCAGCGTGTCAAAATTATCAGAAGGAGAGCATTGGGAGTATTTTAGCGGCTAATTTCACACTCTGATTACAATTTAGGCATCTGTAACGTTAATTTATCGAGAGGGAAAAATCATCAAAAACAGGGAAAAATCATCAAAAACAGTCAAAAATTCGCAATTTTCATGCGTGAAAATGGCAACCGGCTGACGGGTCAAAAGCATTAAGGGGGTCCAAAACTTCACTAGGGTATAGTTTATGAACTAATTTTGCCCTATGTTTAATTTGCAGATCCCTCCGACTTTATTTTTTGGGAGCGAAAAATTACCGAAAAACGGTAAAGATTCGCTATTTTTGCGGGGATAAATGGCAACTGCGCGTCGGGTTAATTTTGTCCGATTGACCCCAAATTTCATTTTACGTGTTTTTGAACATGCTGTAACCGATTTAGAGGGTTACGGCTATAAATTTCCGAAATTCATTTTGTGGGCAACCCTTAGCGACATAAATTTGACAGCCGCGGTTTTTCACAGGGCCCTTACACTCGCTGACAGCGTGTCACAGTGCGGTTGACATCCCGACGGAAATGATGGGAGAGCCCAGGGATGAAGCAGTTCATTTCTGGCAGCCCTGCCCGTAGCCAGCGAGTGTAAGGAGCGGCAGGGTGTGTGTCAAGATTCCCTCTGTCAAATCGTCCTTTCCCGGACGAAAGAATGTAACTGCATTTCAATGTTGCCAAATTTTCCCGCGCGAAGTACATTTTTACCGGGATAAGTTTGGGGATTTCGAACCGAAAATTTCACTGATTTTCCTTCTGATCCCAAGCGAAAATCAGACACATTTTCAACAAAAATCATGCAGGTTTACTCCCGTAAAAAATTAAATTGTTCTAGTCAATTTTGCAACTTTGGAATGGAGTTACGTGTCTTCGTGCGGGAAACGACGAAATAACCCCCGTCAGCACAAATCCATGATGGGTTGAGGTCAGTGGCGTGGCGTGAATCATCGATTATCGATATTTCCCCATATAAAGCTGTGGTAGAGAATCCATTATTAAGTTGTTCGTTGCGAACACCCTGTTTGTCGATCCTTTTCCACAGGTTTAAATAGCAGATCAATCGATAAATTGAAAAACACGCCACCTCACTAGTTGAGGTGGTGACGAGACACGAGATTATGTTAACCGGAGCTTGCCACACTTAGACCGCGCTCAGCAGAAAGGAACCAAACCATATCAGCTATTGCCATATTCGACTGGGCTATTTAATTTTTTAGTCGAGTCGGGCATACTCTCGTGCGTTCGCGATCATGAATAATTGGACTGCGTTTAGCAGGAAGGACCCAAGCAGCATCAGTTATTGCCAAATTTTTTTACCATAAAAACATTAAACAAAAACTCCGCGACGGTGATATACAGACATTTTTCAATTTACTTCGAGATCTACTTTTAAGGAAGGCATTTTATAATTTGAACGAATTTCTAAATTCAGCTGTTGTGTAACGTTCTATTAAACACCACCAAATGTAACAGTTGTAATTTATATTTTTAATTATTGTATAGTATTGTTTGACCTGTGCCATAGCCCTAATAATGGGGCTCACATGTACGAAAGTTATAATAAATAAATAAATAAATAAATAAATTTAACGATGCATTTAATTTTTTACAAGAGAACGTTTGGGTGGATTCTTTTGGAAATTTTAAGGAATTTGCTCCGCACTATGCAGAAAATTCACTGAAATTTACAGAAAAATCCGCACAACCGTTTTCATGTACAAAATTACATTGCCTCATTAAATTTGGCAAGAACTGATGTGACTCGATTCCTTTCTGTTTGATTCGGTCCTTTTGATCAATGGCTTTCGAAATGTGAGAGTGTTGGCAAAGCAGCTCGTCCAATTTACTCCCGATTACCGTCCTCTACTTTGAGGATTTTCAAAAAAGAATCTCTCACGTGTGATGAGACAACTAATGCTTCTTTCATACGGGTGAAGGGGAAAACTTTGGTGGACGTATTTTGCATTGTATTTTTAAAACCCAGCAACACTGAATTTCAGCTTCATTAGGTGGCTTAGATTTGAGCTTCATGGTCCGGTGCAGCCCAAATTAGTGGACAATAAATTATGAAATTGAGGAGCTATTGGAGGGGTCCAATCTTAACACACTTAACACATTTCTCTTATGGCTCGCCGTTTACTACGGAGGAAGGGGCTAAAGGAATTTTTTCCTTCGATTTTTCTTTTCATTCGCCGGAAAAAACCGTCAGGGTCCTTTTATAAATGAAGTTAGGCCGAAGTTTGGAATTATTTAACACCCCTTTTCTCCTTAGTCGCGGACCCCTTCTCCTCTGATAAAATTACTTTTCTGTGTCTCCTTTCAGACCACTTTAAAACTTTCGATATTTCGTCGATAAAATATTAAACATTATTCTATTTGGAGCACTGCACACACATATACAACTCCCTCCCCACTCAATTTCCCCTATCCATCACTTTGGATTGGGCCGGACTCTTTCCTTCAGCAAGACGTATTTGAACACCATATAATCCAATAGGGAACTCCTATCTCTGGCTTATCCATGAGGGAACCTATTTGCATAGGGAAACGAATTTCTTTTGTGCTGTTTCCAGAACGAGCCAGAGATAGTAGTTCCTTATTGCAAAATGGTAATCTCACATTGATGGCCCTTAATTTAATGTATTTACGCAAAAGGGGGTAATTGTTGGTTACATCTTTAAAAATAAACTTACATTATTTTTTGTGAGCAAAAAGGGTTAATTAGTATAAACATTTTAGTTTTCTAAAATTTGGTTATCTATTAAAATATGCAAGCAATTATTCTATCAGGTACCTCGATAAAAATCAATTATTATATTAAGAAGTCATGATGGGGCACTTTTTAAAGTCTTGAAGCGGTTATTTCTTGTTTTTAAATCGTTCAGCTAATGCTTGGGTCCCATAGGCCTATAATAGCTCCTTAAATAGACTCTATCCTGAATTTAGAAGGCAAGGGCAGACACGCAGAAATAAGAATAAATAACTATATTTAATCTACAAAAAATAGTAACAACTTGAAACGAAACAAAACTTAGGATAGAAAAATATTTACAAAAGTGAAATTCATAGCATATTGAAGCTCACAACGTTTGGTAAAGTATGAGAAGAAATTGCAATTTATAAAATCTTGCCAGTTATATTATTACTTAATTGCGTTTGTAAAACTTGATTTGAACTGAGCTTCACTTTCTTTGATGAAGAAAAGCAAAAGCTTACAACTCACAAGCTGTTTTTCATTTGTGTTTTTAAGCTTAGTCGAACACGAATATAGATTTTGACGGATTTTCAGGATGGTGGAATAAAAGCGACGGATATTCTACTATGTTCTAGATGAAACTGTTTCTATAGAAAAAGTTTACTTTCTAAAATCAGTCTAAATAGTGGCCTCTGGTAAAACAAGCCAAGCTAATATTAATGTAAATTTGTAGGTTTTCACTTCGAAAAATTTAAGAAGATGATAAATAATAAAAAAAAAAATACATTAGCAAATGAGAATACTATTCTACTAGAGAAAAAAAATATAATACAACTTTTCTAGTTACGCACAGGTATTTCACCAGTATTGCACAAATCAAATGTATGAAAAGATTTGAAGGAGCGTATCCCCTTACTCTCTTTCTCTGGTTCATTTTCAATGCATCACTGCACAAAAATAAATTAACTTTAGCTTGCAATTGTAACATTCACTACTTACAATAGCATTATCACTTAGTCCGTCTTTTCTTGCACTGGGTGTTGCAGCCAAAGATTTGAAGGGAAATGTGACGTCCTCGTGTCCGGTTTCATACTTAAAATTATTGAATAGTCTGTGTCTCATTTTCAATCAAGCTCAAACAACTTTAAACACACAGACTCGGATTCTTTGCGAAAACACAAGGACTTGTTTCAATCTTGACTGGTAAATTAACTCATACATAAAATCAAAAAATAACTCTTTATTCATTGTTAAAAAACGACTGAAATGATTTCCGCAAAAGAGAATAGGGAAAATCACACTGCCAGTGGCAATTATCACAAGTTTGCAACACTGGGGCAATCCCATTTAAATTAACGTAAAACAGTTCTACCAATCAACATGAGTGTCCTCTTCTCTCTATGCTGGTCACAAGGAAGGAAGGCTATTGCTTTATATTTATCCAAATAGCGTAAGTAAATGTGAAATAATGATGTACTCTCTCAGATATATTATCTGATGATACCGAATTTTCCTTTTCATTGATCAGAAGAGAAATTCTGTTTGAGAGTTTTTTTCTCCGTAGATTCCCTTTAAAAGTATAATTTTTAAAAAAAGATCACAGTGTACAATTTTAAATAATTTTAGCACAAATTTTAGTTTACAGGGACTTAAAAGGCTTTCGTGCTTCCAGCAGAAATCAACCTTCGAAGGAGGAAGAGGAACATCAAATTCATTCTCGGTAACAGGAGAATATCTGCTTGAAAACTCACCTTACAAAATCCACTGCTTGAATCTAGACTGATATTAGTGCCTTCTAATTAGAAAAAATAGAGTTACCAAGAAAAAAATGGTTTCATCCACTTCAAAAATTTCCAGCATTTTCAAGCAGACCATTCTCTGAATACCAAGAGATTTTAACTCATTTTGTGGAATAAAAAACACCATGCTTAAACTTTAAAAAGATGCAAAGTATGATGTATAGCATACACAGTATGGAACTGATGTTCATGATTCAACATTTCCAGCCAGTAGAGCTGAACCGATCAACAGCTTTGTGCGTATATGAAGTGACCCACGCAGTTTCGCTTATATCTTCACCGATGTTCCCCCTTTATCTTACAACGGACAATTTCTTACAAACTTAAAGTTAAATTCAGCGATATAACTTTTGAGACAGAGCCTTGCTCTTAAGAGGTTGCAAAAATTAACCACCAAAAATAAGAAACTCATGCCAGGTTGAAACTATTGCCGGTTTTGCAAGCTTTAAGGCGGGTCTATATATACTTACCTTGAAGCGCGTTAAAACAGTGGAATTTTAGTATACGTGTCTCAGGTTTCGTGATGACAAAGCGTTGTTATTCATTCTAAGGATCGATCTCTAAAGTTTTACCTTGACTTTACTCGAAGCTGGTAAATTTGTCCTTTTTAAGAAGCTGTAATAAAGGTTTTTTAAAATCTATTCTGATCACGATAATTCTTTCTGCCTTAAGGGGTCTTTCAAATGAAAGAAGTTGAATAGAGGAACGATAATAAATACAACCTAAGGTAGAGAATCCAAGGAGAGAAAATACAAAAGGTGATGGCGAAGCTACCATCTTGAGATTTAGTTACGACAAAGAAACCTACATCAGTTCTTCAGCCACTAAAAAAGAGCTAAACGAAGGCGCAAGCACTGCTTCACGCCGCACATGACTCTCTTAGATATACTTTAATGATTGTTTACCAGCAATGGACCACTAGACAAGGTACGAATTTAAGCATTCTGATACATGTTTCTTAACCAGAATTTTACGTAGAACACGACTCGCGCAATGAAAATTACTAAAACCAACTCCTAACGAAGGTATTAACGTTTTTATTTCACATTGGTTACGAGTAATTTGAACTGCCCGCTCACAAGAAACTCAAAGCTTTGCGTGAGTCAAATCGCGCACTACAACAGTTTCGGCAATCTTCTCTATCGAGCAATGTTCATTTCCCATCATGTGTTGTTCAAACTATAAGCTATTTGCTATAGCTGAGCCAAAGCGTCAGGATTGAGGTTGCCAGATTTTTATATCGCAGAGATTGTCATGCTACACGTTTAGCGCGCGATGTGATTCACGTAGAGCATTGAGTTTTCATGAGCGGGTGGTTTGAATTCACGCATCAAGAATCATTAAATATCTTTGTAAGGAGTTGATTTCAATAATTTCCGTTGTGCGTATCGTGTTTTACGTGAAATTTTGGTTAAGAAACATGTATCAGAATGCTGAAATTCGAACCTTGTCTAGTGGTCCATTATCCGACGACTACACGTAAAAGCCAACCAAGATGTTGGTCCATTCTACCCTTGCCTTGCCTTGTCCAGTCAACGAAAACAAAATTCCCGTAATCGATCCGCAGGCATTGCTCCCCGTGGCGTATGAATGTATGTTTCTCTGCTGTTCCCACTTTCTGTATTTCCTCTATAAACAGCTGTCTCCAATACGGATGCAAAAACGCCTCAGTACTAGCGTCATCTATTGTTTGAAAAACATAACAGCCGACACAACGCCCTCAGAGTTATCCAGCTTGCTGATGTTTCCGTTCCCGTTGCTGCTTCGCTCTCCTCCTTTGTAAGGCTTTCCGATGATTGGCCGAGAATCCTCGATCATCTTGATTCGGCTGTTGTAGTCCAGCTCCAGCGACTCTGACGTCACGATGCCGGCCCGCTTGTTGGAGCTCTCGGAATTGCTGCAGACAACAAAATTCGAATATTACTATCCTTGAAGCAAATCTCCCTAGCTGTTAATGCATTCTTTACAAGTTGAAAATATTCATTTATTTTAGTGGATTCGGATTCAACTTGCAATCCTGATGATAAAAGTATATGATTATGGGTCCATGCTTGAGTAATTAATTATTTATGAATAATTGGATTACATTTTGCAATAAGGAACCACTATTTTTGACCCATTTTAGAAACATGATACATGCTATTAGTTTCCCTATCCAGATATGTTCTTTTATGGGAGTCAGAGATAGTGGTTCCTCATTGCAAAATGTAATCCAATTAGAGTGACGCATTTTGCGTGTGATTAATAGGTAATAAATAAAAGAAAAATCCTGCCTTTACACGCTTTGTATGAAAAAAAAAAACCGCAAGTGTGCAAAGACAATACTTTTTCCTTAAGGTTTCCTTTTTCCTCCGTCTCGGATTTGTTACGTAACGCTGGGCTTGACCTCCCGCTCCCCTTGTAACGCACCGTAACGCTGACTCAACCGCCCCTCCCCCCCCCCATGAGCGTTACGTACTACTTTACTACTTGAACAACCCCTAAGCAGCTGATCGCTTATATACTTAAGGTACAAATATTTCCTTCTTTCAATATACAGCTCTTATCACTCATAAAGTACATAGAGTCGTAATGTAATTGGGAGGGCTGGCGCCACTTTTAAGCATTTTCCATGTCCCGAATTCCGAGACTCCTGTGTGACGCCGGGTCACTTTTTCGATACATAATCGATTGTTTGCGATACACGGGTACCCGGCCATCCGATGACAACAACAACAACAAAGGAGATAGGAATTACCACTTATTCCACACCGCCATTTTGGATCGAAAATGTATCGAAAAAGTGGCCCGAACTCGGCGCACACCGGGCTCGGAATTCGTCGAGCAGAACATGGCGCCAGCTCTCCCATTTACATTACGACTCTATGTACTCTATGTTATCACTATACCTGGTCGACGCGCTGCCCGAGGACGTCAGGTGCGGTGCCTGGATGAGATAGGAGCGGCTGTTGGCAGAGGGAGCGTTGATCGGCGTCCAGTTGGAGACGGAGCTGGAGGCCGGCTTGTAGCTGAGCACGGGGGCCGGCGAAGGCGAACTCTCCTCGGGAAGTTCCTCCATGTCCCGGTACTCGCGATCGCGCAGCGTTTTGAAGCCGATGACGCGCGGCTTCGTGATGGAGACGTAACTCGTAGCTGTTCCGTACTTCTGGCTGTCGTCGTCGACGAACGGATTCACCGGGCCGCTGTAGTCCTCCTCGTAGGGGTGCTCCAGCCGGTAGCTCGTCTCGTAGTTGCCGGCGGTGTACTCTAGCGGAGGGTCCTCGTAAACGGCCGGTCGCCGCTTGTGCGCCTTCGCCGGTTTCTCGTAGAACTCCTTGTCGCTGTCGTAGCTCGTTTTGTACGGCTTTTCGTTGCTAGAAAAAGAGAGGAGGACCTCCTGTTACTCTGAATATTCTTTCGGGAGGTTTTCCTAAATTGGACGTATTTCTACACTGGAAAAAAACACATTGGATCTAGAGTCCAAAACATCGACAAGAAAACGTACTCTTGATTCAATCAGATTTAAGCTTAAATCAAGAATCAAGCCTCTTAATTTGAGCGGATTTCCTTCTGATTTAAGCTTAACTCTGATTGAATCAAGAGTCCTTTTTCTTATCAATGTTTTTAAGAGTCTGGACTCCAGATCCAATGTGTGTGTGTGTTTTTTTTTTTTCAAAGTATAAAACAGAACTATGTGCAGGTGGGAAAGATGGGGTGCACTCGTTAGTTCTCGGGCGGTAATATTGAATGGGAATTAAGAAGGGCCAGTGATGGCAGCGGCGATGATGGAGACTGCGAGCAGTCTTTGACTCATGAGCCCTACGGGCCGATTGTTGACATTTATAGACAAAGCTATAGACAGAGAAGGCACAAAGTGTATAGAGCGATACTATTGGTTGAAATCGGTGGTTCTTATAGATTAAGAAGGTAAATGATGGTCTAACTATCGGATACCTCGTGGGTTGCCGTTAGTTAGTCTATTACCTACGTCCTTTGTCCATTGCAACCACCCGCTTCCACCAATAGGATCCCTCCATGTCCTCTTTGTCTTCTTTGTCTATCAATTTCAATAATCAGCCCGCTGTCTGCAGAGCTTTAGGCACATGCCCACGGCTTATGAGTCCCGCATACAGCTGGCACATAGTTCCGTTTGCTGAATTGGAAAAGCGGGATTTTACATCCTGTCAAACCCGTTGCCAAACATCAAATTCAAATGTCAAATCAAAAAGGGCTAGAAAAGTTAAAAGATGAGTATTTTTTTGCAAAACTGAGGTTTACGTAGAGAGAAAAATCTGATACGTGCGTTAAAATTGTAACGCGGGCGAGTGGTACTAATTGAAATAAAATATGATATTCTGTATAGTTTAAGTTCAAAGGATTATTGTTCTTTTAGGCCTTAAGAAGACCATGTCAAACCTAACTTGGATATTACTGACATGTCCGTACTCTCCTTGCGGGCTGATTGTTGAAATCGGTAGACAAAGCTAAAGACAAAGAAGACAAAAAGGATATGGAGGGATCCTATTGGTGGAAGCGGGTGGTTGCAATGGACAAAGGTGGTAGATAATAATAGACTAACTAACAGGAACTCACGAGAGACCATTTAGTCAGTCCATAATTTTCTCCTTTATCACGGAAAAAATTAAATTCCTGGTTTAAGGTTTCAGGACATTTTGTCAACGATTTTTTGTCCGCGCACCTTTTTTGTCCAGTAGTTTACGCCCACGCGTAAAATAAGCAACGGTGACTCGGTCCAAGCGTTATATTTTAGTCGGTATGTAAAATTATACTGACAATACACCGAAAAAAAGTAAAGTTAATTTAACATTCTGGATGTGAAAAAAGTGTGCGAGAACTCACAAAATGCTAAATTACCCGCCACGGCAGTTAGTTTTACATCTTGACATTTATAAAGTAACTGCTCTAGCAGTTAATTCAGCATTTTGTGAGTTCTCGCACATTTTTTTTAACATCCAGAATGCTGAATCAACTTCACTTTTTTTTCAGTGTATGAAAATGAGAAATTGAGAGAGAAGGAGGTATTGTTATGGTTGCACATTTTCTAAATGACATGTTATTACTTTCTCCTTTTGAATTATCTTTTTAAATTGTCATTGGTGAATATTTGGTTTTATTTCTATCCTTGAAATATTCGATGTACAATATACCTTATATGTGTATAGGTACTTTTTTTATTTTTTCTTTACGAAATTATCACTTCATTTTGAAAACATTTATATTTTTAAAACGTGACAAATATTTGTAAAACCTTTTCCAAGCGATATTAATCTCAATAAGCCGCAGTTGTGTCGACAGAAACTGCGAAAATGAATAAAAGGGGGAAGAAAAACCATGAAGCACGCAATCTTCAGTTTTAACCCATTTGTACATCGATCTTTTAGAATCAAATACGTCAAATTTTGAGCGTTCGGTTGCGCGCACACCTCGCTGCAGCACAATAAAAGCACAAAATGTAAAAGAAAAAATGAAGGTGCTTTAGAAATCTTTAAATTTGACACGGAACCACCAATATTTAAAAACACACACATTATATTATTATTCTCCTTTGATAAATTAATACGAATTTTTTCCCAATCAATTTAAATGAGAATAATCAATGCAGAGTGTGCAAACATTTCAAAATCATGAGTTAAAAAACGCTGACTATATACGAGTATAAATATTAAAGCCTAACAGAGCGTATTGGCGTGCTGCCAGCGCTAGAGGCTCACTGGCGCCTACAAACCTAAGTGGATACTTCACGCATTGCACAGTGCTTGAAGTATCCACTTAGGTTTGTAGGCGCCAATGCGCGTTTAGCGCTGAAGCAACTATTTCACAACAGAGGAGTTGCACAGTATTATACGAAATTGAACTTATAAAGAATGACAGGCATCCTTTAAAAGTACAGATCTTTCCTCGAAAAATAAATCAAGATACTTATCGTACACTGGAAGAATCTAAGAGCCTTTAGCTGAGGCAAATATGAAAGTTTATCCGGCTCAGGTAAAACAAGGTGGAAAAATCTTGAAAGATAATTAAGTCCTGTTACACCAAAGAGGTGTACAGAGTTTTTTAGTGAATTTCGTCCCATGGAATTGACGCTCCCCCATTTTTACCAAAATTTTCAACTATATATTATTCTCCTTTGGACCGAACAGACAAAACAAAAAAACAAGCAAACCCTCATTCTTCCAAGACATTTTACATTTTCATCCAAAAACGTCGTGAGCAATTGTCGTTTGTATTTACATGTGGGCCAATTAACTTTGGTTCTCAACTGGCACGTGGACCAAAACTCCCGTGCCGAAAAAACGGGTCGACGTAAATTACTGGAAAAAACAGGTGCGCCGACAAAAAATCGTTGACGAAATGTCTATAACCTGACTTAACAATAGTCAAAAAGGCGAGTGCAATGTTTCAATGCAGATTTCACAAGAACAAAAATACTACTTTAACCACCCTCTGGTTGAATTAGCTTTCCACTATTACAAAATGTACTTTTGAAACATTGCAGTCACTTTTCCTAACAATTGAATTGTTCAATCAGCAATCCATTTTTTTCCGTGTAGTCTAATGGAACCATCCAAATTAACCAATATGATCGCTCTACGATCCTTCCTTCTTCTTCGTCTCTATCGCATTGTCTATCAATTTCAACAATCAGCCCGCTGCGGGCCGATAACTGAACTTTGTGGACAAAGAAGACTACAGGGATGTAGAGGGCGCCTATTGGTGGAGGTTGGTGGCCGCAGTGGACAAAAGACTAAAAAGAGGTATGCAATAAACTAACTAACGGCGACTCACTAAAGACCTCGTGGTTAGTCCATCATATCGACGGTGAAAGTCGGCAATCACATAACTCGATTTGCAACGTCGCAGACTTCCTGTCATACTTTATTTTTTAAATGGAAAACTACTCAACGGCAATTCTTTAAAACTGTCATGATTTTTCTTCTCAATGCGAAGAAAATTCTGCAAAAACTTCAAGAAATAATATCACTTTGTTCTCCTTTAAAAAAATGACGTAGAGGCGGAGATTTTCAGACACCGCAAACGAGTTATGTGATTGCCGACTTTCACCGTCGATATTCTCCCTTAGCCTATATGAGCCACCAATTTCAACCAATGGGATCGCTCCATACTTGGTATTTCTTCTTTGTCTATCGCTTTATGTATCACTTTCAATGATGAGCCCGCTGTGCAGGTACCTCTTCTAACTCACCCGTAATAGTTGGTGCGATGAGCGCTCTGCTGTTTATCGGTGTCGTACTCGTATCCCTTCTTGTGTCGCTCCCTGTCGGTGAGGAGCTGTCCCTCGAGGTCGAGCTCGATGCTGGGCTGGATCTCGAAGTTGGGGTCGAGGGAGTGCTGCGGGTGCTGCGGGTGCTTCTTCTTGGGGCGGCGCACGAGCGTCGGCTCCTCGTACATCTGCAGCTCCTCCTCCTGCTCGATCGGGAGCCGCTGCTTGTAGTACTTGCTCTTGAACGGCGACGTGATGAGCGCGTTGTTGATCACGTCCGGGTTCGGGATCTCCTTCATCGGGTACTTGCCGTGGTGCAGCTTCTTGAACGGCGGCATCAGGTAGTACGGCGCCGCGCCTGGGTACCTGAAAAAATGTGTCCTTATTTTAGTCATTACGCCCATATAAAGATTAAATAACACACACCACTGAAAACAAAATGGACCACTAGACAAGGTACGAATTTAAGCATTCTGATACATATTTCATAACCAGACTTTCACGTCAAACACGATTCACACAACGAAACTTACTGAAACTAACTCCTAACGAAGATATTAACTTTTTTATTTCACATTGGTTATGAGGAATTTGAACTGCCCGCTCACAAAAAACTCAAAGCTCTACGTGAGTCAAAGCGCACACTACAACGGTTTCAGCAATCTTCTCAATCGAGCAATGTTCATTTCCCACCATGTGTTGTTCAAACTATAATTAATTCGCTACAGCTGAGCCAAAGCGTCAAGATCGAGGTTGCCAGATTTTTTTATCGCAGAGACTGTCATGATAACGTTTAGCGCGGGATGTGAATCACGTAGAGCATTGAGTTTTCATAAGCGGGTAGTTTGAATTCACGCATCAAGAATCATTAAATATCTTCGTAAGGAGTTAATTGCGGTAATTTTTGTTGTGTGCATCGTGTTTTACGTGAAATTTTGGTTAAGAAATATGTATCAGAATGCTGAAATTCGTACCTTGTCTAGTGGTCCCTTGGTCTTGTGAACCGAATGTGGGGTGTTCCATATCATCTCAAATATTCGAATTGTCAAACTAAACTTTCGGTTCGCGTAATCGAGCGTTCGGCATATGACCAAACTCTGTTCGTCGGTTCGGTTACACTGAACGAAAGTTCGATTTGACAAATCGAAAATTGAGTTTGACGAACAGAATTAGTTGAGATGATATAGAACATCGAACTTCGGCACGTACGACCGAACTTTTTTTCTGAGAGAGAAGAAAGGGTCAGTTCATGGTGATTTAAATCGTATTTTGATTCAGCGTACCGAAATTTTTGGCTAGAATAACCGATTTTGGTTCAGCTGACCAGAATTTGGTCCTCACACATTGCTGAGGACTTCGATTTTCTGATCCTAAGAACTTTGATGTGCGATATTAAGTTAAGTTCAGTGCAGGAACCGTTACGCGTAAAATAAGTTCTTTAATGTATGTACAGTATTGTAACATTGTGAAATCTCGAATGCCATGTGTTCTTAAAACATTTGATAAAAGAAAAATTAATCGGGATCATAGGATGGCTCGTGTTGGAGGACATTTATCATTACAGTCCAAACCTTTCTGTTAATATGTACTTCACGACGGTATTTTTAAACGTTTTCCTGTTCAAATGTATGATTTTTTTCCAAAATGAAAGTATTGAGTTTTAATTGAGACTATAATAGTACGTTACAAAAAACCTCAAATTTTCTGAACTTATGATTTATTTTTGTTTGAGCCATTAAGCCGTATAACAGGGTTTCGACAGTCAGGAAAAACCGGAAGTTGTCAGGGAATTTTAAAAATTCAAGGAAAAGCTGGAAATCTAAAAGAAAATGACAAAAATTTCAGGGAAAAATTGTTCAGTCACGGTTATTTCCTTTCAGAATGGGTTTGAGGTTTCAAACAAAAAATTTTACCTATTAACTATTTTAAATCATGTCTTTTTAAGCATCTGCCATATCCTCAGTTGTCAGGAAATTTTACCAAAACGTGACACAGAAATCAATGAGGTGTCAAGGAATTTCATTTTATAAAGAGCCTCCCAAAATAAGGGCTGACTCTCGCCCCATTTTCGGTATTCGATTCGACCATCGAACCAAGGTTTAAGTGGAAGCTTATAATAACAGAAAACTCAGGAAAAAATTTCAAGATAAGTAAAGGAACCGTTTTTGAGTTACGGAGGGGCAAAGGGGTCAAACTCCGGCATTATATTTCGCAATTTTCTTTCGGGTCAGCTTTGGCTTCCCAATTGCAAGAAGGACGGCCCCCGGCTTTGGATCCTTTGGGTTCAGGTGGTCGGCCCCCAGCTTTGGCACCTTAGGGGTCAGGGGGCTGGCCCCCCGGCTTTGCATCCTTAGGGGTCAAAGGGCTGGCCCCCAGCTTTGGCTCCTTAGGGGTCAGGGGGCTGGCCTCCGGTTTTGGCTCCTTAGCTGTCAGGGGGCTGGCCCACGGCTTCGGTACCTTAGGGTTCAGAGGGATGGCCCCGAGCTTTGGCTCCGTAGGGGTCAGGAGGCTGGCCGCCGGCTTTAGCTCCTTAGGGGTCAGGGGGCTTGCCCCCGGCTTTGGCTCCTTAGGGGTCAGTGGGCTGGCCCCCGGCTTTGTCTTCTCAGGGGTCAGGGGGCTGGCCCCCGACTTAGGTGTTAGGTGGGCAGGCCCTTGCTTTGCTGCAATCCGTACCCCGTTGCTTGAAGTCAACGAGACGCCTTCAAATGGCCGGGTATGCAAAATGACTGCCGTGACGCACGAATTGTGGTATCAGAATTTTACATTAAGTTAACGGATTGATTTGAAGGCGCTCTTCTGTATCCATAATGAATGGCCTTGTACAATGAAATTGACCTAAAAGTTCATAATTTTGGGTGTTTAAATCGAGTTGCATATTGCGGAAATGCCGAGGAATATTATTTTGAAATAATATTATGATTGTTTTTGGTATCTACATCCTTTAAAAATGTAGAGAGCGCAGGCGGCTGGATCAGATTGTGTATTTTAAGTCCCTTGGTTCGGTCATCGTGTTCTGAAGTGAAATTGAAAGAGTCGCCGTTTACAAGATCGCAACTCACTCAAAAGCGGTCGTGAATTTAAATAGTTTCGCACGGATAAAATGAGTTTTCTTTGATTAACTATGAATGATCATAATTGGAGAAAAAGTACTTTGTCCACTGGTCCATTAGGAAAGCGTAAAGCATGGATTAATGTAGCATCGATGACCAACTAAATCTTATCTGATAAGGAAATTTAAGTGTGAAACCCTTTTTTCCGTCTTTAAATGATCCAAATCCACCAACAAGTTTAAAACACTAAGTGCAAAAATGCGAATCTACTGATGAAGGGTCGATTCTTAGTGCCAAAAACGCGAATCTCGGCATTTCTGCCGTATTTTCTAACAGTTCGAGAAATAATTGAAACTGCTGATGGAGTTTGAAAAAACATCTTATTCTTGCCATCCTCAAGAATTATTAATAAAAAGGGTAGAAGGGTAATCCCTTCTACCGACAATAAAGAGGAATGCAGACAGTTTCTTACTCTCCTGGAAAATCGTGTTTTCCGAGATTCGCACTTCTGCACTTTCACCATCGATAAAGTCCTTTCCGATCATTCCGATCATTTTTTTCCCGAGAAAATCGCAAAAATTCGATATAAACGATTGACATATCAACTCGTTAACATTAAAAATCGATTCTACAAGAAACAATACGTAGGTGTCGGTCAGTGGCGTGGCGTGAATTGCGATGTATCGATTGTTATGTCATTTAAACCTATGGTAAAGAATCGATTATTAAGGTGTTCGCTGCGAACACCCTATTAATCGATCCTTTTCTATAGGTTTAAATGGCAGATCAATCGATATATCGCAATTAACGCCACGCCACTGGTGTTGGTGTACTCCAGACATATTGGGTGCTTTTAGTCACCCATGAATCAAAAATGAACAATTTCAATCCCAAAAAATCGTCGATTTTCCGTAAAGAATCTTAAAAAATCGATATAATCGATAGGTATATAGACTGTTCAACATTAAAACTCGATTTTGCGTGTAGAAATACGTCGGAACTGGTGTGTATCACACGTGTAAACAACGTTAGTAACCCCGTAGACACATCAATTCAACAAGAAAATTGCGAAATATAAAGCCGGAGTCTGACCCCTTTGCCCCTCCGTAACTCGAAAACGGTTCCTTTACTTATCTTGAAATTTTTTCCTGAGTTTTCTGTTATTATAAGCTTCCACTTAAACCTTGGTTCGATGGTCGAATCGAGTACCGAAAATGGGGCGAAATCTTGGGAGGCTCTTTCGGCAACGTTGATGTACCAAGATTGTATTTTGCAAAAAGAACCAAGAACATTGCAATGTTGCTAAGATTACGCATCTTCATCCTTTGCTTTAGGAGTAACAAAATCGTGTAGGTAAGAATGTGAAATTTACATTGTAATTTTTGTCTTAAATTTACAGTTTTAAGATTGTTAAATAGAAACTGTTTATAGACGGTCAGGTTTTTTTTCCACGACAAAGGCTTTTGGACAATCTTAGCCAGGCCCGCTACATCCCATCTTGGGCCCTGGTACCAGTTTTAAGGTTCGGGGCCCAAGCACGGGGGAGGGGGGGGGGTCCGAGGGGCATCCCTCGAAAAATTTTAGAATTTATACGACTAATCGGACGCATTTTGAAGCTTCCATAATGAATTTTTCCATAAATTTCTGCGGAATAATTATGGTTTTTTTTCTACTTTCAGCACAAAATACTTGCGAATTGTTGGATTCAAAACATCTGGAATTTTTTTTTTTTTGGGGGGGGGGCATATGATACTATTTTCAGTTCTATAAGGGCCAGGCCCCCCTTGACTCCCTCTTCGTTTGTCTATGTCAAGGGAGTTGAGCCATGAGCCATTGAAGTCGAGGATGCCCAGACTGAAGACCCTTAGCATCTGACGACGGAAGAAAATGAAACGCAGTTACTAAAAATATCCCTCTGTACTGAAAATCTTGAAAATAGATAGAAATTTTCCAAGAATCATACTTTTTTGAAAATTTAAGAAGAATTCTACAGTGCCCCAGCGTGTTTCTGAAAATCTATTCACCTTTTGCGAAATTTTTAGGGTAAATTTTTCACTTTTTCTTACGAAACAAGGGTTGCATGTGAATTCGTAGTGGTTTTTCACGGGTAACCCGGGCCCCGGTACCAGGGACCCAGTATCCCCCCCCCCTTGTGGCGGGCCTGATCTTAGCATAGCAACATTAATTGCAATGCTCTTGGTTCCTCTTTGCAAAATGCAGTCTAAAGGAGAATTTGCATGCACATTTTTGGTTCATCTAAAAGTGCTTTAAGAGTCAGTTCTTACACAGTATTTTTTATACTTTTTTCCGATATGAGAAATAGTTTAAAAATAGATTTAAACGTGAGAAAATTCACCGCCTAGGGACGTCATGGCATTTCCCATTTAAACACACGTCTTTTAACAGAGTAGATCATTTTGTTGTATCATCTCCAATAATTGTATAATTCATGAACCACGAGTATTCTTGTGTTCAGTTCACTCAGTATTTTCCACTTAAATACGGATTCGTCAAATTTTAGACACCTGGAAATTCTCTATGATTGCATACCTGTTCCGATAGTAGGGTTTCCTCAAGCGGTTGATGCTATTGGCGACGGCGGGATGGAGGCCGTAGTTGGCTGGCGTGGATTCGTAGCTGGGTTTGTACGTCTCACGCATGTAGACGGGCTTCATGGAGGCGTAGGCAGGCCGGTAGCCGGGAGGGTACTCTGCGTAGCTCGGACTCGGCATCTTCGGGCCCCCCGGGGGCGGGTCCGCGTAGTAGACGTACGGGCTGTGCGAGGCCGCTGAGCCCATTATAATCTCCTCCTGAAATTTTACCAAGACTCCTGTCATTTGGCGAGGAAATCGTACACGAAACGAACATCGCTTCAAATAAAGCACTCAAGTTTTAATCCGGGATCTACTGCCGTGCTAATAAGGAAGAACGCCGTATGAACATTTGAGAGTTGCCACATTTCCTTCGATAAAATGTTTATTTTTTAGGAAAGTTATGAATATTTTTCCTTTGAATTTTCAGAATCTTTAAGTAAAATTGCGAACTAAATTATCTAAAAAATTGGGAGGAAAATATTTATAAAGAGGTCTGTGCAAAAACGGCAAAATCCGCCCACCCTCAGATTTCAACCAAACTTCGGATTTTGATAGGCCTATATGCCAATAGTAATCCCTGAAAATTTCAGCCCCCAAAAATAATTACAAGAGGGGGGGCGGGGGGTCAAAGTTGGAAAATCGTGCAAAATTCAAACTGCTATATCTCGGCAACGGTTACAGCTTTTTGAATGCGGTTTGGACCAAAAAACGCAGA